TGCCAACACAACAGACCCCACCGACGGCTTCGAAGGCCATCGGTCCTTTGCCGACCGTGCTGCCGAAGCTGACGCAGCCGAAGAAGACGTACCTGAAGCCTCGGCAGCTGCCGGACCACTCCCATGCTGCTCCGTGCCAGTTCCACTCGACGAAGACAATCCTCTCGATAGTAACAACCTCGACACCTATTACCACTTCGCTGACTAGGGTTACACTACACCACAACCGGTCGACACAAATATCTCTGAATGCATCGGACCCAATTTCTTACCTTACCCCGAAGATGGTGACGAAGCAGCTTATCCCGAGAATGACAATTCCCCTCGACACACACCCACAGGCCTGCAGATACTTGGACTATGGGTCGCCGTCCAGAGCCCGCCGCCGCCGTCGCCGCGCGAGCCAACGACTCTGTCACGGGCTCTGGGGGGGGAACACAAGGCGAACTGGAAGGAAGCAATGGAAAAAGAACTGAAGGCCCTGCAAAACCGAAATACGTGGAAGCTGGTACCTGCAACAAAAACCAACGGGAAGAATGTGCTCTCGGGAAAATGGGTACACCGCATCAAGACTAATGCGGATGGCTCCATCGATCGCTTCAAGGCTCGCTACGTTGTACGAGGATTCGACCAGCGATACGGAACCGACTACACAGAGACATACGCCCCAGTCTCCCGACATACCTTTCCTGCGCATTTTGCTCGCCGTCGCGGCCACGAAAAAGCTACCACTGCGCCAGATCGATGTCGCCAACGCCTTCCTGTACGCACCTGTGGACGCTGAAATCTTCGTCGAGCAGCCCCACGGATTCATCAACGATCCCACAAAAGTGTGCCAGCTGGTAAAATCCCTCTACGGAATCAAACAAGCCCTGCAACTCTGGTAGCAGCACCTTCACGGCCACCTCGTCAGGATCGGCTACCTGCAGCTGCCGCACAATCAAGGGATGTACCGACTACAGAAGGGGGGGGGGGGGTTGTCCTGCTCATCGTCTACGTCGATGACCTGCTCTACGTTGGCTCCACTACCGACGTCATCACCAGGTTTGAAGGGGAGCCGAAGAGTGACTTAACGCTTTCGGTGTCAGACACCGTGAGCCAGTACCTAGGTCTGAACGTCGTCGAAGACGACTCGGCGTTCTACCTACACGCCAGAAAGTACGCAGGCGTTGTCGTGAAGAAGTTCGGACTAACGTGGGTCGCAGTCGCGACTCCCTATCGCTACGGGAACAACAGCGATACCACCGCAAAGCTCCCCGCGAAGCAAATCCAGGAATATCAACAGAACCTCGGCTGTCTACTGTTCGCAGCAGTAACCTGCCGACCGGATCTGTCCTACAACACGAGCCAGCTGGCGACACACCTGAAGCGGCCGGAGCAAGAGCATCTCGAGGAACTAAATCGGGCACTGCTCTACTTCGTCTCTACGCTGACGACCGGACATACCTACAGCAAAGCAACATCATCGTCCGCACAACTACTCGACTATGTCGACGCCGACCACGTGGGAGATAAGGAGAGTCGGTGCTCTAGAACCGGCTAGATCTACCGACTAGAGCCTATCGGTACTATTTCCTGGCAATCGAGCAAGCAGGAACTTATCGCGCTATCCTCGGCTGAAGCGGAATACATTGCCCTCTGCTCTGCGACCAAAGAAGGACTTTACCTGCTGGAGCTGCTCGAGGAAGCGAAAATTGCGACCATGCCCGCCTTCTCGTTATTCTGCGACAACCAATCCGCGATCAAAATCGCGAACAAAAACGGGTTCGCCAATCGAACCAAGCACATCGCTCTGCGGTACTTCTTCGTCAAGGATGAGATCGCGAAGGGGAGACTTCAACTCAGTTACTGGCCCACGACAGAAATTTCTGCAGATTACCTGACGAAGATACTTGCAAAGACAAAGTTCGATTACTGCTTGCTGCTGACAGGGCAGATAAACGTCACCGAATCCGGACACGTCAGCACTCCTGAAACGAAGGGGAGTGTTGGAAATACCTCGAAGACTTAAGCGTTTCTGAAGTGTAACACTACACTTGAGGAAAGTCGTATCGAGTACACGAGCCAACGGAGGTTACACGAGGAGGATGGGCGAAAGAACACGAAAGGACGAAGGGACTCGAAAGGTCGCAACCGGAGGTTGCGACTGACCGTTACAACTGCAAGGGTGGTAACCAAACTGACAATCGAGTCGCTATGCGACTCGATAACCGTTCCTTCAACTGTATTCTACAACTGCTTCATCTCTTATTTCTATATATTGCTATTTGCTTGTTTCTATAATCAATCACTTGCTCTCACATACTAGTGCAAGGGTTCAACTACTCAACACTTCCGCTGCACTACTCAAGCATTCTTGTACAAGTGGGACTTAGTCTCTGGAAAGATGATAAGGGCTTTTATCAGCCCAATACAGACATTTTTCAGAGTATTTTTTGGGGTGTACTCAGATTGCTAAGACATTTTTGTGTACCTTTGATCTTTTCGGAGAAGAATGTTGTACCTACGCTGATTTTTTAGACCTTTTATCCTAGTGTACTCTAATGCGTCAACCCTACATGGGGGGGAGACTCTGATTCTGTCTAATACCGATACCATTTAGGGGGGGGTGGGGGGGGGTGGGGGAGGGGGGGGATGGAATTTGCGCTGGTACCCTTGTGGAGGGCACTGGCTGGCCCTTAGCCAAAAACAAGGCGTGATGCCTGTTGGGGGCTTTGTTGTGAGGGCGTTACTGGCCCTTCACCAAAATTAACACCCAGTTTGTGCTGTGGCGGTGTGAGGGGCTGATTGGCCCTTCACAAAGAAAGAATGATTGCTGGGGGCGTGATGTGTGATGCGGTTTGTGTGTAGTACGCCCATTGGCCCTTTACGAGATTGCCACCTGGATGGCACCGATTTCCCCTGCAATTTTGATTCGCCCCCCCTTTCTGCCCCATCCCACGTTAGTCCCCCACACACAATTCGCCACGAACTAGTATCTTCTCTACCCACCAACCTATTTCGTCACCCAAGCTGGCACGTGAAATTACTAAACGGGGGCTGGGTCTGGGCATTCCCGAGAAGTTTGAGGGCAGTACGAAAGGGAAATCAGCGTAAAAGTCCTGGGTGACTCTGATTGATCAGACAAAATTCTCTCGTCACTCTGATGTTTCAGACTTCTTTTTTAGGGGTGATTTTGACGGCCATACCAAGTTACAGTGGGCAAGTCTGATGAATCAAACATCCCCTTTAGCCTAGATAGTGGCAGCTCCTAGGAAGACAAAGCAAACCAGGGAAGAACTACTAGTATGACCTCTGAGACAAGAGGTCACAAGGCCAATCAGCAATTGTAACAAGACAGGTAGGTACAGAACAACGAGTTCAAAGATGTATAGTATAGATGAGGATTCAATGAAGCGAGCGGCTACTGAGACGAGAGCTAGTAGAGTGTAAAACTTCAAATGATCACGAGGTAGTAGTGGCTTGGTGAAGATATCAGCAGTGTTTGTCTCTTAGACCAACTATACTATACGAGCCTGGCCGCGTTGTTGCAACTCTCGCAGCAGAAAGTACAGCAGCTGGATGTGCTTCGCCCTGCCCTCGAGTCGAGCCTCTTGACACATGAGGATCATAGCCCTGTTGTCACCAATCAGGACCAGAGAAGACCTAGGCTGCTCACCTAAGTCGGTGAGCAAGAACGCCAGCCAATAGAGCTCCTGAACAAACGTTGCCCTAGCGTAGATCTCTGCCTCGCAACTGGATTGAGCTACATACGACGACCTAGTGGACCTCCAAAAGACTACATCAGAACCAAGACTAAAATAGTAGCATAGTGAGGAACTGAGCGTCTCCAAGTCGCTAGCCCACGACGCGTTTGTGGGTTTAGTGAGCACCACTGGCTCTTGTCCTCCTGGCATAAGCCCCATTCTTGATGCACTCGCCAGATACCGCAGCACCCTCTTCGCGGCTTACTAGTGGACTGGTCAATGCCTCCTTGTCTCAACAAAGTGAGCAAGGATACTGAGAGGATATGCTACATCTGTACGAATGCCACTTATCAAGTACATGAGAAACCTCACGAGCTCTGTGTATAGACTATTGGGCTCGGCCGGTTCAGCTGGAACAGGAGCAGAAAGCTTGCGATCGACATGCAGGGGGGTGGGCTGTGCTGAGGAGAACTGGAGACTGGACCTCTGAAGGATCTGGTGCACCTTATGGGACCGGGAGAGTGTGATTGTGCAAGCGGTATGGTCACGAGAGATCTCCAAGCCCAGTCCGAAGAGAAATCGGTCAATAAAGATTTGTTGTGTTTGCGACGAACAGAAAGTCCTCCTTGGGTTTCTTCCAACTTCTCGATCCTTTCTTCACCAGCGCTGCTGCATCCTGCTGATATTCTTGACCTTCGTAAGCTTATGCAGTTTTTTGTCTTGTAGGGGACACTAGCTTTCCTATGCATCGCGAATTAGTGGGGTAGTCCATTTTTTCGTGCATGCGATTTCGACCTAGTTGTCTAGGTCATTTTCCATTCATGCAAGCCATAGCAGTCAAGCCCGCTAGATCGTGTCTTAGATTCTTGCGTCTTGATTGTTAAGCTGCATTTTCATTCTCCGTAGTTCCCTCTCCTTCCTTACACTTCCTATTCCTTCGTTTCTCCTACCAAATATTTTCTTTTCTTGACTTTCTCCTTCATGTGCCCTCAGATTCATTGACAGTTCTCACCTGCATGTCTTCTGCACCTAACATCAACCCACAAAAGGTAAGATTTATGCGTAACTTCTATGAAAATGAAACAATTTTCCCTCGATATTTTTGAATGTCAATGTTGCTGAAGTCCTTGTTCTTTGGCTGTAATTCCATACTAGTCTACAATGGTGCCACCCAAAATCGGCATTACCTTCAAGAAAAAAAGGGGGGTGTGTGTGTGTGCGTCTCTCTCTTTCTCTCTCTCTCTCTCTCTCTCTCTCTCTCTCTCTCTCTCTCTCACTCACTTTGTCTCTTTCCTCTGTTCTCTCTCTCTATCTCTCTCTCTCTCTCTCACTCTCTCTCTCTCACTCTTTCTCTCTCTCTCTCTCTCTCTCTCTCTCTCTCTCTCTCTCTCTCTCTCTCTCTCTCTCTCTCTCTCTCTTTCTCTCTCCCTCTCTCCCTCTTTCTCTCTCTCTCTCTCTCTCTCTCTCTCTCTCTCTCTCTCTCTCTCTCTCTCTCCCTCTCCCTATCTCTCTCTCTTCCTCTCTTTCTCCCTCTCTCTCTCTCTCATTCTCTCTCTCTCTTTCTCGCATTGTCTCTCTCTCTTGCACTCACTCTCTCTCTCACTCTCTCTCTCTCTCTCTCACTCTCTCTCTCTCTCTCTCTCTCTCTCTCTCCCTCCCTCTCTCTCTCTCTCTCCCTCTCTTTCTCTCTGTCCCTCTCGCTTCACGTTTCTCTCTCTACCCCTCTCTCTCGTTCTCTCTCACTCCCTCTCTTCCGCTTCCTCTCTCTCTCTCTCTCTCTTTTCTGCCCCCCCCTCTTTCTCTCTCTGCCCCCCCCCCACTCTCTCTCTCACTCTCTTTCTCTCTCTCTCTCGGTATCTATTTCTCTCTACTACCGCCCCCCTTTCTCTACTACTCGCCCCCTCGCTTTCTCTCTCTACCTCTCTCTTCCCACCTCTTTCTCTCTTTACCTTTCTCGTCCTCTCTCTCTTTACTCCTTTCTCACTACCTCTCTCCTCGTCCTTTACCTCTCTCTCTCTCTCTCTCTCTCTCTCTCTCTCTCTCTCTCTCTCTCTCTCTCTCTCTCTCTCTCTCTCTCTCTGTGCTAGATCCTGGCTTCCGATTGGGTCCGTGACAGTGACGTCACAGATCCACACTGCAGCTGTCCCCTAGTCTCGGATGGCGAGGTCCGCCTTGTGGCCATCGACGGGGCAGAAGATGGTGGTCTCCTTGTAGACGATGAACCCTGCATCCTGACCCACGCATATACACTCATCTTGGAGTGCGTCGTGTGTGTCGGTCCGCCCGTGTCTGGTGCCGCAGCGAAGGAGGTGGTTCCGGAGCCGCAGGTCCGTGATCTCGGTGCGGTACATGCAGTCACAACGTCTGGGCGTTGAGAAGGGGAGGCCAAGGTGGAAGGCCAGGCTTATGGAGAAGTGTGCGGGTACGAGGTGCAGCGATTGGAACAGGGGGGTCGCTTGTAGCCAGTCTCCTGCTCCATAGCCTGAGAGGGAGAGCATCCGCTGGGTGTGGCCCGAGTATGGGTTGGGTTCCATCTCTCGTGTCTCCGCTACCTGGTTGGCGTATCGCTGGGCCTGCACCTCCAGTGCCAGGCGGTGCTGTAGGGGCTTGTCGGTGGGCTCCAGTCGCTCGTTCTGGAGCAGCAAGCGCGCGGGCGGTGGAAGGGCCGCTTCCGCCTCGGACAGCCACACGTGGTAGGGCGCAGGGTTTGTGAATGGTGGGGCGAGCTGGGCAGCGGCCAACGCAAGTGGGGTGTCTGGCGCAGGTTGGAGGGAGGTCTGAAGGGCATGGGTGTGGTGCGCGCTGGTAAGGAAGGAATAACTCCCTTCCACCAGTGGGTCGGTGATGCCGAGCCCCCCCAGGGACGGGGGCAAAGAAGCCTGCGCCCATGTGCGGGCCAGCTCCTGCTCCCCCCAGGGCAAGCGCAAGCCACATGCCTGGAGTAGGGCATGGAACATGCTCTGCCTCCAAGCCGACCATTCCTCTGCAGGGAGGAGCTGTAGAGGGGTCGTCCGGATGAGGTACGACACGCGCTTGCTGATGCAGCGGGATAGGAGGAGGGCGCTGGTTTGGGGGTCCATGGCGGAGAGGAGCGCAAGCGGGGAGGTGAGCAAAGCCATGCGGGTCCGGAGGAATGCCGCTGTGCCGTTGCCTGGTCCGACGTGGCTGCCAAGTACTCGCAGCCCTTCCTCACTGAACGGGATGTTGGGGGGAGCTCCGGTGCCGTGGGGCGTTCGCGTGCGCAAGCGGCACATTTAGCTGGGTTGTGTGTCAAGCCAAGCTCGCACTGTCCCTCCGTGAAGTGGGCAAAAGCCGCGGTGCATGCTGCTGGTTCGTCGGCAAATGTCACGTCATCCGCATATGCTAGGCTCAGCACGTGCGGGAAGGCGCGGGCCGTCGCTTGGAGTGCGGGATGCATCCCTGCTGCAAAGAGTAGCGGGCCGAGCGGGTCTCCTTGGCGGACGCCCCGCTCGCTTAATAATGACGGGCTATTGAAGGCGGTATCCAGGTAGAGCACGGAGGGCCTGCCGTAAGAGAGCTTGGCCAAGAGGAGCAGCGGTCAGAGTGGTGAGTTGGAGAGCCCGTCGACGATAGCTTGGCGTTCGATGCTGTTGAACGCGTTGGCGACAGTGAGGTCAACCTGCATTATCAGCGAGTCTGGCCGGGCAGTGGAGAAACTGCGTGTGGATTGAACGACGGTCTCACCGCCACCAAGGACCGCCACTCCATACTGTAGGGACAGGAAGTGCCTGTGCGCAGTCTCGGTTATTGCGATCAATCCGCTCTTGGTGATGATGTGGTGCATGCACTCGCCCACTGCGTTCGGACGGGTGCAGCCATCGGGCTTCACCAGGGCGATGAGCCGCGAGGGGGTGAGAAGCTCGGCCACGTCCTCTGGTAAGTCCCCTTTCATAGCTGTGGTGACGAGGGAGTAGAGGCTGTCCGCTACTGTCGTGTCTGCGAAGGCGGCGTCACGCAAATGCTCAAATGTCATGCCCGACGGACCGGCTCCCACTCCATTTTCGCACTGGGATAGCAGCTTGGCGAAGGTAGGCTTGGCGAAAGAGAGTGGGGGTTGTGATTGGGCCAGCTTGGGCCAGGTAACCGAGTTGGCCAGCGAGGTTGGGTGTTTCGCTTTCAGCGCCTCAAGTACCGCTGCGGAGGGGGCGCTGACCGGCGTGGACTCTAGAGCGAGAACAGCTCACCGCAGGCTGCCACGTTTCGTGAGGACCCTCTGCACGTGCAATTTTGCCGAGGTTGTCAGCGACGTGGCGAGGAGGTGAGGGCAGGTTGACCGAGTCAACTGCCTCTCGGTATAGCGACTCCCAATCGTTGTTGAGGAATTGACGTAACCGTTTCGAGATCTCTTTCCAAGCTGGTTTCTGTGGCGAGCCCAGACGAAGGGTCAGGCGAGGGGTGAAGAGTAACAACCGCCAGGTGCAGGAGCGGGATGAGCAGGGCAAGTGTGAGGTGTGGGCGAAGGTTTGGCGGGACTCAACGGCAAATGGGGGGTTGTCGGCTGTCGTACAGGGGCAGCAAGTCCCAGCTGGCGATGCGGGTGAAACATGATTCGTCAGCTGCGAGCTGTTCAGGGGACAGCACAGCTTCTTGTGAGGATCCTGATGCTAGCGGGGCCCGTGCATTCCGCCCCTGCGGCAGTTCCCCGCTTTGGGGTATTGGGCGAGATCCGCCTCGGGACCGTCGGCTGGCTGGTGCTGGCTCGTCAGCCTGCGAGCTGTCTTCCTCTGTGCTCGATTCGGCCTGGCCATCTAGTATTTAAGTCCTGTCTGCGGCTTCTTCTTCAGCAGTTGCTTCCTCCGCTCATCTTAAAGCCCTTTGCGTGGCATGATGGAACTCGTTCCGGGGTCCTCCGTCACTCCGTGTCTGTCCGCCTCGTCCTTGGAGCCTACCCCTTCCTCTACCTTGTCGTCCTCTGTGCCCTCTGGTGTTCAGTGCCGCTCCTTGTCCCCTCCCGCCTCTCGCTGGTGCCTGGCCGTTGGCCTCCTCCTCCGCGGGCGCCGGTGCCGTAGTAACCGGTGCCGGTAATGGACCTCCTTCTCTCACCACGCAGCCATCAGCGTGTGTGGGATGCGCAGCACCCTGTGGCGTCAACAATGACTGCTTGGACTGCGCCTGGTGGTCATCGGCCAGCTCCAGCGACACGTGGTGCGGCATCAAGGGGGTCTCGTCGGGGCATCCTGCCCGACCCTCAGTTTTGCAAGCTGTTTCCGAGTGCCATCGCGTCCCCAGTGGTGCTTCCTTGTGGTGTGCCGCTCCCCCCCTCCACAGATTCCACGGTTGCGCCGCATGAGGGACGGCGCGCAGTATGGCCGTCGGCAGCAGCTTTTTGGTCTCGCGGACTGTCTTGGCTGGGTGGCGGAGCTGCTGGATCTGCTGCATGCTGCCCTTGAGCGTCGGCCTCCGGTGGCGCGCGATCCTGTGCTGTCCCGTTGGCAGCGTGCTCAGGCGAGGAGGCCGTGGCCATGCTTCTGTGGGGGACTGGTTAGTGCCCTT